AACTTCCTTTTTTTTCATTGTAAGCTCAAGAACTGAAGAGCAAATTCAAGCTTTGAGTTGCAATACAGAATGTTAAATGATCCAGGAAGAATTAAAAGAAGATGGAAAGAACATACGGAGTCATTGTACGAAAAGGAATTGGCAGACACAGAACAATTTAATGAAATAACATATGAGCAAGGGCCTGTGGTGATGAAGAAGGAAGTGCAAGCTGCTTTGAAAGAACTGGCAAAAAAATAAGGCCCCAGGAATTGACGGTATCCCAATTGACATATTTCAACAAACAGAGCCCCTGGATGGGCTCACCAACTTGTGTCAAAAAATCTGGAGAACAACCACCTGGCCAACTGACTGGAAGAGATTTATATTTGTTCCCATTCCAAAGAAAGGTGACCCAACAGAGTGAGGAAATTATCAAACAATATCATTGATATCAAATGGAAGCAATATTATGCTTAAGATTATCCAAAAACAACTGGAACAGAGAACTGTCAGAAGTGCAGGCTGGTTTAGAAGGGGTCGCTGTACTAGGGATACTGTAGCTAATGTTGGATGGATCTTGGCTGAAAGCAGGGAGTACAGGAAGAATGTCTGTGTTTCACTAATAATGCAAAGGTGTTTAACTGTGTGGACCACAACAAACAATGGCTAACCCTGAGAAGAATGGGAATCCCAGAACACCTGATCCTGTTAATGCAAAACCTATACTTGGACCAGGAGGCAGTCGTCAGAACAGGGCAAGGAAACACTGCATGGTTCAAAATTGGAAAGGTGTACACCAGGGATGTGTCCTATCTCCATACCTTTTCAATCTATATGCAGAACAGATTTTATGGGAGGCTGGGCTCTATGAGGAGAAGTGTGGCATCAGGATTGGAGGAAGACTCATCAACAATACATTACGCATTATGAAGATGACACAACCCTTCCTGCTGAAACTGAGGAAGACCTGAAGTGCTTGCTGAGGAAGGTCAAGGACTGCAGCTTTCAATATGGATTGGAGCTCAATGTCAAGAAAACAAAGATCTTCACCACTGGGCCAATTGGCAGCATCATGATAGATGGTGGTGAAGATATTGAGATTGTTCACAGCTTTAGTTTGCTTGGCTTCACAATCAACACTCTTGGTACCAGTAGCCAGGAAATTAAAAGATAAATTGCACTGGGAAAGACTGCTGTCAGAGACCGCTCCAAAGTACTAAAGAACAATGATGTCAGTCTGGAGACTAAAGTGCACCTGATACAGGCTATGTTCTGTGCAATTACTTGTTATGTGTCAGAGAGATGGACAATGACTATGGATGATAGAAGGAGAATTGATGCCTTTGAGCTGTGGCATTGGAAAAGAGTATTTAATATACCATGGGTTGCTAAGAGAATGAACAGGTTTATCCTAGAAAAGGTTAGACCAGGCTGCTTCTTGGAGGCAAGGATCCTGAAGCTTCATCTCAAATACTCTGGACATGTTGCAAGGATGGACCAGTTCTTGCAGAGGAACGTCATGCTTGGGAGGGTGGAGGGAAAGAGCAGGAAGACTCTCTATGAGGTGGATTGATTCAATGATTGGTGTAATGGGGGTAGGTGTGTCAGAGACAATAAGACTGGTGCAGGATAGAGCAAGGTTTAGGGCTGTTGTACTTAGGGTCACTATCAGTCTCAGGCAACTTGACGGCACATAACAACAATAGCAACAGCTTCTGCATGCACATAGCATGATTGAAAGAGTTATATAATCTTTCTCAGCCTTAGTTTACCATGTTTTCTATCCCACTGAACTGCTTAGGATTAAGTCAATCAATTCATGCCTTTAAAACATATAGCAAAGTGAGGGATCACAGTAGATATCACAGTTCATTTTATATCCCAGTTTTTATTTCAGCCAAAGGAATGTATTTGGATTAGGTTTTCAAACCCTTGGAAAAAATGAGGACAGAATAAGAAGCAGTTTGCCCATAATGTGTTGCTACCTAAGTCAGAATCCTGAAATCCACAACTCATACAACACTGTATCTTTTAAACATGTTGATTATAAAGGTCTTTCTGCAAATTATAATGTACAAAACAGACCCAGTATATAAAACAGATAACTAGTCAGCATAATTTAATTACTTATGCCTGTCTTCATACTCCCTTTCGCTCCATGGTGATCATGTGTTACGTCCTTAGAATCTTTAAGCTCCTCATCTCCATATATGTTTGAGTGACTGAAGACAGCCCATCTTAAACTCACAAGTAGTAAATGAATCACATCAGGTCCTCCTAAGATGGATTTCTCTCCTTCCAGACCACCTAGGGGTTTCTTAAGCCTCCAAGGTTCCCAAAGGACTTGAACTTTCTCACACATCCATCCCTAATGGGAACCATTAAGCTGACATCACCACTCTCCACACTTCATAAAGGAGGCCTAGCATCTGTAAATGAGAACCACCTGCAAGTGCTTTGGCCAGAGAGTACCATATCACTCAAGATGTGGAAACTCAAGTTCAAGTGAGACGAGAAAAGGGTACCTTCAAATGTCAGAGGCCAAAGACCAGTAATCCGGCACTAAAGTCTGTAGGAAAAGGAGGATTCTTGTTAGATAACTGGATTTAAATCTTAGTTCTGACACTGCTAATTGGAAGGGTAATAACCACCTTGAATATCAGTAGAGTCTATGATATTAAGAAAACTTATTTTGGAGCCAGTCAGTTGTAGGTTCAAATTCTGACTCTGTCACTATCAAAATGGTAGTATGGTAGCATCAAATTTCTTCTAACTTTATAAAAAGAAGGAGAAAATTAAGATTACCATTAGCCCAAAGAGAATTCTTCTCTCCAATTTCTTAAAAAATATTGTAAAAATTTTTATATTGGCTTACTTACAAAGTTCTTTTATATTATGTTTCACATTATTCTTCATTCACATTGCTTCATACACTCATTGCATTGTATTATGTTTTATAAATTTAATAACCATTAGACTATATATACCATTATCCTGTCTATTGAGATCCCCATTGGATATTTCCATTTCTTGTGTCCCCTTTCTCTCTGCACTAAATTGTGCAACCCTGTGATTTTTTTTCCCCCTTATCTATCCTCACCTCTCTACTCCCAACCCTTCTGCCCTTGGATCCTCATACATGTTTTATTAGTTATTCTTCTATTTTTACAATAATGGTCTGGTGTAGTATTTGTCCTTATAAGACTGAGTTAGTTCATTCAGCATAATGTTCTCCAGTCTCTCCCAAATTTTGACACCAGCCATCACGCTCACAGCAACTCTACTTTTCTGCCAGGTTTGGTAATCCATTGCAATAGCCACACAAACTTACAGACCATACTCAATGGGTTTGTGGTTTATTAGTGAAGTTACAATTTTGGATCAGAAAAAACTCAGGATTCAGTTCTTTGGTCATTACAGCTTCCAAACTGTTGCTGCGGTGAGGCCTTTTTCTAAACCCCTGAGCTCCTGTGAAAGCCTCTGCCCTGTGTTTGAATACTAATAACTGCCTGAAGTTCATAGATTCTCAGTGCAGGGATGCTGTGTCCAAAAGACATACTTGGCTCCTGGTTCACGTTGATAGTAGTGGTAGTCCCCCACCCCCACCGCCCCTACACACACATTTCTAGTATTGGCTCCCTGTACACCTAGTAATAGAATCCCAAGTTTACCAAACTCAAAATGCAAACACATTACCACTGACTTACAGCTGACTCTCCAGCTGGTTTACAGAGGCTGTGAATTAACTGCCTATCTTTTTACAAAGAAACTGCTATTGGATTTGAACTGCCAGAGGCAATGCCTTGGGGTTAACAGCACAACTCATAAGGCATGTACAACTGGGGCTCTCCCTAGCACAGCTGATTGTCATTCATTCATTCATTTTACCAGTACTTTATTTTAAAAAAATTGTTAACATACAAAATTTGTATGCATTGTGTTTTGATAATGTACATTGTGTTTTATAAAATTAATCACGATTGATCCACACTTACCTGTCTTTCATTAGGGCTCACATGCCTTATATGCATAGTGCCATCCCTGCAAAAATTTCATGCATTTTATTTGCCTTATTAGTTGACTGTCTAATCCTCTAATTTGAAAATAAGCTCCTTATGTGCATAGCTCCACCCATTCATTTTATGAGAGTCATAAACTAAGCATGGCTTGAAGGGCCCTTCTGAGTAATTCACTGCACTACAGTCATGTATTTATTATATCACTTGGATAAACTGATTAATCTCAGAGTTTTCATATCCTTGTTTAACAAAGCAAGACAGAAAAATCTATCTCCCAGGATGGTTGTTAAGATTTACACTTGTATGAAATACTTATCACAGTGACTGGCATGAGCTGCCCCAAAACTCAATGCTATTGAATCAACCTTAGCTCCTGGTAGTCCTCCAAGGTTCTGAGGCTGTAAGTCTTCACGGGAGTACACTGTCTCCTAGTTCTTCCAAAAAGTGGCTGGTGGATTGACTGACCTTTCAGTTAGCCTCATCATTGTCACTGAGTTGGAACCAATTCACAGCTGAACGTCCACTGGGTTTCTAAGGCCCTCTAATTACACTGGAGGAGATTGGTCATCCTTTCCCCATGGAACGGTTAGTGGAGATAAAACACCAGAGAGGGACAGCTTTGGTCTAACAATGCTACTTTCCATCGAGTATTACATCAACAAAGCTCACTTTTTTTCAGTTAGAAACCCATCAAATAACCTCAAATCATCAAATAAAAAGTTGAGCATGTAATGACAGCAGCAATCCAGCTGCAACTTAAATAATAAATCAGTCACTAAACTTTGATGGAGCACAGTTCTACTCTGGCAAATGGGGTTACCATGAGTGGGACCTGGCTGATCCAATGACAGCTCTTTCATAACAAAAGATCCAACATTCAAGAAAGGTGCTGGCAGAAAGGAAACATAAACATACCTTAGCTGGGCACCAGGTATGCACAAATACATGATAATTGGAATCATTTCTATTATTACCATCTCCTCAATCTCACATACTCACCTCTTTCAGCCACAGAAGCTTCGGGGCCTGCATTTCCACGGACATCACACCCCCCACGTACTGGAGGACACTGTGCTTGGTGTCATTGATCCTCTGGACCTGATTCACAGCTCGGTGGTCCAGCCACATGATGATGTTTCGATAGCAATCTCCTAACAGACACAAGGCATAGATGAAAGAGGGTAAGTTCCATGCCTTCTAACTCAACGCAGTAGTGAAGGATTCCTCAACAGTCTAAAAGATGCACAATTTCTATAATATCTAAAACTATGTTATATCTCAAAAACAAACAACTGGAAGGACCACCACCAAGGTAGATAACTATATTTTATCTAAACTTCAGATTCTCTTCTAGTTACTTGTTTTTTAATATAGCTCCAGAATTAAAAGATTAAGCTAAATCTAGTCGAGACCTGTCAGGCATCATTATCACTCACCCTCCTTTTTCAACTTCTCATCCTTCCCTGTCCCTTTCTGTTCTACTAACTCTTCGAGGTGTATATTCAGAAACAAAGCCTAGGAAATAAGCTTGATGCAGTATTTTGGCTTTTTAAAATTTGGTTACTTTCAAATATGGTTAAGACAAATATTTCAAGTGTTTGATATATCTAATATCTAAAATTACTTTTTAAAAATCTGCTTATACTCCCATTTTATTCTAGAAGATGTTAAGAAAAACATAACAAAGTGAAAGAGCTGAAAAGACAGATTCAAAGGGAAGCTTGGGAGGACAAAGCAAATTATTATAATAGAATGTGCAGAAAGCTAAAATTGGAGAATAAAAAGGGGAAGAACTCATTCTGAAGAACTCATTCTGCATTTCTAAAGCTGAAAGAACTGAAAAACAAATTTAAGCCTTGTGTTGCAATACTGAAAGATGCTATGGGCAATGTACTGAATGACCCAGAAATCATCAAAAGAATAACAGAAGTAATAACAGAGCCACTGTACCAGAAAGAATTGATTGACACTGAAAAAAATTTCAAGAAGTACTATATGAACAGGAGTCAATGGGAATCAAAGAGGAAGGTGCATTGAAGGCATGGGCAAAAAAATAAGGCCCCAGCAATCGATGGGATGCCAATTGACTTGTTTCAATTAATAGATGGAGCCTTGGATGCACTCACTGGTCTATACCAGGAAATCTGGAGGATGGCTATCCGGCCAATGGATTAGAAGGATGTCTATATTTATTCCTATTCCCAAGAAGTTTGATCCAAATGAATGTGGAAATTATCAAACAATATAATTGATATCACATGCTAGCAAAATACTGCTGAAGATCATTCAAAAATTGCTGGAACAGTACATAGGTAGGGAATTGCCAGAAGTCCAAGTGGTATTTAGTAAAGCCATTGTACCAGGGATATCACTGCTGATGTCAGGTGGGTCCGGGCTGAAAGTAAGGAATACGAGAAGAATGTCTATTTGTGCTTTATTGTCTATGCAAAGGCATTTTGAGACTAAATGGAGAGCATTATGCTGAATGAACAAATTCAGTCTCATAAGGACAAATACTGCACAAGACCATTATTGTAAAAATGGAAGGATAACTAATAAGATGTTGATAAAAGTCCAAAGGCAGAAGGGGAAAAAGACAGGGGATCGGGGTTGTTGTTGTTGTTGTTATGTGCTGTTGAGTC